CCTCCTATGTAGGAAAAGCCTTTGTTATTAGTTCCATTAGAACTACAGTTTCACTTAATACTTGATTGTCTTCTTATGTAGATGAGTGGAGGAGATCTGGAGTATTAGCATTTTCTGAAGGAGAGAGCATTTTGACATGGATTGGCACAACCGAAGGTGGAAAGGGAACTATGTACGAGGGTTTTTCATACAAACTTTCTCTGCTATTCCCATTGGATTTCCCTTTCAAGCCACCTCAAGTCAGGTTTGAAACCATGTGCTTCCGTCCAAATGTTGATCAGTTTGGGAAAATTTGCCTTGATATTCTTCAGGTATCAAATTAAGCAAGTATATTGGTTTTCGGTTAAACCATTTGCTCTTAACAGCATAAGAATAAGATTGGGAAAAGAAACCTCTACTTGGTTCCGTCATATTCAAGTGTTTGAACCTACTGCCTTGGTGGATATTGGAATTGTAACATAGTTTTATTTTTCGTAGGGAAGCTTTACTACTGAACCAAGGGATCATTGGTAGTGGAAATTTTTTATATGAATGTTTATTAATTAAAGTTCTTTTGATATCTTCTGTACTGAAAAACTCATGTTAATGTTATAACAGGATAAATGGTCTTCTGCTTATGGTTGCAAAACCATTCTATTGTCCATTCAAAATCTATGAGGAGATCTGGTTTCTCTTCCTTTAATATTTAAGTCAAGACACTGGTAAAATATCCCTCTAAATTGACCAAGAACTATTGTTGCATGCAAAGCTAATCCCAAGAGTACCCTCAACAGCTATGCTGCAAAACAATGGACCAATAAAGAAGGTTGAAGATTGAACCCTGTCATTTCCCATATCATATTTAATCCTCATTGCTGTTATTTATTGTGTTTGAAGATCAAAGTTTAATGTTCCTAGGTTGACAACTGTTTATTGACCTGAACTAGGTATTATGTACCATGTATATGCATTAAAGTTTAAGGAATTTGATTATTTGGGAAAGAAACGTTGAATTCGTATACCAACTGTACAATCTTATTCTTGCACAGAATTGCAACACTCAAAACCTTTTATTATATAACTATTGAAATAAGCTTAACAGTCATGATTCTTTATGCTTATTCTATCATGGTCTCCAGTTCCTCTTCACAACACTAGCTACAAGATTGCAAACCTTTGTTAGTTACTTCCTTGCTGTTACCACTGCCTAATATGTTCAGGTCATGAGTTGGGAAGGATCTCTCAGTGGTTCCTTGAGCTCCCTAAGAATTAGTTCTCTTCAATGCCATTCAAGTAGAATTCAATAGAAAACCTTCTCATCAGTAAGTAGAAATTTGGGGATTTGGTATATGCAAATGAAGAGAGGGCTTATAAAGGGAATTGTCCAGTTATTGGTTTTTGGTGTGGAGGGAATTGGATGCACACCAGAGGGCAAAAATTTTAGAGAGGAAGAGTAGGGAGATAGGAATCATCAAATTTTCCTAGAGAGATTTAATTTGCACACTGGGAATGAGACCTTGAGGACTACTACATGAAAGAATCTGGCAGGAGCACCGCCTTGGCTAGCCATTTCTATCATCATATTTCCTTCAGTGTAAACGATAGTCATGGTGTATGCATTTCTGTTTATGCAATTTGCTACTTTATTATATTTTTTATATATCATTCATCTATTTTGACAAACAATTGGCTAATATATTTTAATCGTTATTGTTATATGTATATTTAGTAACTATATGTAGTTCATGTTCGTTCCTTCTTTTTAATTTATAAAATTAGATAAGACTCATAAACAGTTTTTTTTTTTTTTTTTGTCGAAATGAGGGATTTTTTTATAAATATTTTTAAACCCTAAAAGAAAAAAAACAATAACAAATCAAATGGAGTGTATGGTGTTTATTATTTAGTGCCATTAATCGCTCATTCTCTAAAGGTATTTCTAGCGTATCAACCAGCTAACTTCATTTATGGACGATACTCAGATCGAGAGAAAGGATGCATTAGAAAACAACTTCAAATCAACACTTCATGAGCATTGAATTGATCAGACAAATGCACAGAAGCGGGTGAAAGTGACGGGACCTTGGGTGGATCCTTTTGCATCCCTCTCTTATGGGCTTTATTTTGGTTACCCACTTCCTAAGAAAAGAATCCAGGGAAGCCCAACCGAACAGGTTTTTAAATTCGAATAGCTCAGCAGCATGTGCATACCCTCTTATTTTTTGTGCCCATCAACTATTTGTTGAAACTTGAAATGCCCTACAGATAATATGAGCCGAATCTGAACATATAATTTCAGGTTAGTTTTTACTTAATCCTTCACTTCCTTTATTTACCCTTAATTTTATTAGGACCTCCCCTCATTTATCTGTCAATTCAACCGTTCCCACTAGAACCGTTCATACATAATCGACAACTCATTTACCAAAACCAAAAAACATAACAAAAACTCAGTGGGGTCACCTCCAAAAAAGTTTTCTCCAACGCAATTATGGTCATGAATTGATTCCCCTCTGTTATAGCATGTGACTGTCAATCAACCAACAATGCCAAAATTTGAGCAGGCCAGACGCTAGAAAGAATGCATCAGAATGGAAATTCAATTATGAATGCAATACGCCAATACTTTTGTAGAGACAAATTGGTACGCCATCTGTAAAGGATGGGACTTACGACACGGGCAGAGGTAGCAGCTCAGGTTTTACTTTTGCCCTTCGGTACCGTCAACTGTTTACTGTATAGATACTTTTTTTTTTTTTAACAAGTTTGAAATTGTGGGGGTGGAGATCCAACCACACCTCAATGAACTGAGCGATGCATCCATTAAAATGGTTAATGTCACTAAATTAAAAAATCAGGTGCGCTGTATAGATACTTTAAACTTATTTTTCAAAAAAAAAAAACTTTAATCTAAGTCTGGACAAAGAAAAATGATTGGTTGAAATTTCTCTTAAGAAAGAGAATTTTTAAAAGTTGACTAAAAATCATCTTACCTTGACCTGGTAAATTAAAGTTTTTAATGAAAAATTAAGATAAAATATAGTTAACTGTAATAAAAATATAAATAATTATATTAAAATTTTAAAAAATTTATTATAATTTTTTAGTAGGAAAGTGACCTTAGTTACTTCAAAGGATTACTCAAAATCATGCTATGCCGAGTAGAACCTGTTTTTGGTCGGCTTCACCAA